TTATACAAGGTGAGTCTATAAGTGCAAATATTTTCAGGGCTGGTAGATCTCAATAAAATAAACATAACATATTCTCTTTATCCAGTTTCAAATAAGTCCATTCTAGTTATTAAGTCTGGAAATTAAAAAAAATAGATTTATTTTAAACAAATTTGAGCCACCCCAATTTTTCGGTATTTGGATCTCTTTTAGTACCGTAATATCAGAGATTAAGATACCGTGGGAGAGAAAATTTGCGGTGAACAGGAAGTTCTAGAAAGTTTTCTAAAATATACAGGAACGTTTAAAAGAAACTGCTCGATTTTTAACATATTTTTAAAAAAAAACTCTTAGGCGTGTTCCTGGGGTCGAAATATAAGACTTTAAGACTCACCCTGTATTGTGTATTTCTTTTATTAATAACTAATTAATATGACTGACTGGCAGCAAAAAAAAAGATTGAATAGAATTACGTAAATTTAAATAGTCTCGATCTAAATGTATACTAAGAATACGGTAGCGTAGATTGATAACTGGGGGGGGGGGCCTCGGTGCAATATTTTTCGAGCTCCCCTTTGTAAAAAGATAGACGAATTTGACGCAAACTCTGCGGTTGACGGAGAAAACATATCTATGCTTGGCTTGAATTGGGGACGGACTAAAAGCCAAGTATGAGATCTAAAAGCTAAGTCTAAATTGTTGTTTAAAATGTTGCTAAAATGAATTTGCTAAAAAATTACTGAGACAGCAGAGAGAAGAGTTAAATAAGGTTTAAACTAGATTAGATAATAAAATATTAATATGTCCTAATGTTCTTATTATGGACTGTAACATAGCATTACATCAGAACACATTTATATCCACTGCCTAGGTATTGCCTAGGGTTTTTTCGTTTGATTCATGGCATTATCATACAAGATGCCAAATGTAGAAAAGTATAGAGGAAAAGTTTCGTGATAAGAACTAAACAATAACCTAAAAAATTCTGCAGTTTTAATGGCGACCGCGGTTCATTCAGTTAAAAACAAGTGTACACGAGGAGTAGCTGCTGTAGCACAAAAGAGAGAATTTCTTTCTACAATGTGCCCGAAAAGCTAAAAGTAAAGTATTTCACAGAGGATTGGGTCAGCTGAACTGAATGAATCAGGAAGTCTTAAAGTTTCTCAAAATCGTGACTCAAAATCGTAGCCTATTCAAGATCAAATTACCCAATTATTAAAGTAGAACCCTGTAAAACTGAGCCATTTTGTAACCAATATTGGTCTTTACGAAAATTTTGATCATTACAATTTTTTTTTTAAACCGGAGGCAAAAGAGCTTTTTCGCACGAATGAAAAACACCCTTACTTATATATTAATAAATACAATATATGTTTCTTCGTTATGGTCATTTTGTTTTTGTGGATTTGGGCCGGTTGCCTGTTTTTCCCGGGCCGGTTTCCACTTCCCCATCCACCCCTGATTGAAACCACTAATTTATCCCACTAATTCCGAGGTTCTGAATGAAACTTTAAAATAAACCAGCTGAAAACCTCTAAATACCTACTCCTTTATCATACTTCTATCGAAACATAATATTTGACAGATACAAGAGCATCTGTCAAAAGGAACCAGGTTAACTTTTTTACTTCATCAAATTAAAAGCACCAATCTTCCCATTCTATATATTAAGAATAAGAAAAATCATACATATTCCCTTCATTTAATATAAATTGCACTTATATATTCATATTTAAATAATAACTCAATTTGGAAGTACTACATATTTCATACTAATCAAGAATAACGACATTGTTTCTTAGGTTAACAAATCAATTGCGCAATGAAAATAAAACTGTGGAGGAGAGATAATAAAATTTAGACCGATCCCATAATAAGCAAATAACTCGACAAGTGCACTTTCCACTACAATTAGCATTTTAAATTTTACATTATGTTTTTACCGGTTCTCGAACCGTATAAAAATATTCCCATTACCTTACGTAATGTCCTGCATAATGACTAACCATTTGTTAGTAATTAAATTACAGTTTACTGTTATTTACAAATTCGATGATTGCAATAACTATCCGAACAGCGGTAAGGTGCACTTCCCTGAAAATAGTTTACAACAAATATTTAAGAAAAGATCTGGCATGTTTGTAATAGCTAAAAATATTTTGAAAAAACTGGTATACAGGGTGGCGCCTCTCATACGCCGCGGAGGCTCCAAGGAGAACGACAGTTCGTATTAAAATGAAATTTTGTGAGCATATGTAGGTTAATTCAGAGCACCCAAAAAGAGCTACATATCAAAGTTGTGTTTTTTGTAATAGATAGCCCTATATATTAATTGGTTTTCGGATTCTGTGAGAAAAATAAAGGTGAGTTTTATAAGAGAAGTATATGACTAAAATGTAAGATTTTTGACATATTTAACATTTTCTAGAAATAAAGAACAATTTTTAAATTACAATAAAAGCTACCTAAACTGGAATTTACCCGATATAACCTAATATGTATTTAAATTAACTATTGCACTTTAAATTAAATTAAAACTTGATCCAAAAAGTTATAGAGGGTGAGACAAAATTAATATTGAAAATTGATCACCTTCAAAAGTATGTTATTCATCTATTTTAAATGTAACACCCATTATATTATTCCGATATTCATTGGAGAATTCATGACTCTTCAAAATACTATTGAAGTTGTCTACCCCTCAAACAAAGATTTTCCTAGATATTTTCCAAAGCCATTATAAATATAGACCGAACATCTCATTCATAAATACTCGTTGGTAGTGTATCAAACATTCCAATGTGTCAAACAAGAACAGAAGAGACAGAGAAGTCTAAAATTTCCGACCCCGGCAACTAGGCGCATTTGGATTGTTCTAATGGCCAGTGGCGTATCGTTTTTGGAACGAATTTAATTAGAGATGTTATAAAATTTATAAATACATTTTTCTTGTTTAGAATAGGCAACATTATTTAGAACTTCCCGTTTAATCTCAAATGATAATTTAGGTTTTAGTTTTACCTTTTTTGATCTTAAAAAGAACTTTTTAAAATTAGTAATTGGTAACGATTTAGTTAGTTCGCAACGATTTAGTTAGATAGCTTCCTGTAAAGTACTATGTAATAGTTGTTTAATCTTGTATTATTAATAACTTCCTATACCTAAAATCAATATTTAATGAGAAAATTGTGTTTTTTTGAAAATATAAGACAAGATTTGACTTTCGGTCTTCTTCTTGTATTATGATGGCTCTGATACGAGGCAATTACCTTTTAGTCTCTCAATAGCAGGCATTTATCATTAAAAGTATCAAATCTGTGTGCTACAGTATGGGATTTCTGTCGCATAATAATGAATATTACGTTTATTTACAAATCCATTACTTTTAAAGGTAGCTTCATCAGACAATCAAATTTTAGTTAAATGTCCCAATCTTCATGAACTGTATTAAGCATATGTATAGCGGTTTGAATCACCCCGAGAATCACCCTCTATGTTGACAAAAATATTTTGAAAATGTGCGTTACAATGGCCCCCATCTTATGTAAAAAATTGAAATAAAAATTACAAACCAAAAACGTAATAGGTAAAAAGTTTTTTTGGAGGCCTGGGTCACTCTGTATATAGGTATGTATAAAACTAGTAGCCTAAGAATTATTTACAGTTCGTCCCATTCTAAAAAAAGGTAAACACACCGTACAAATAACTCTAGGTATTTGTACGGTGGTAAAAAATTGTTTAAACGAGGCCGAAGGGGCAGATATAATAATGCAATAAAATGTGAAAAAGGGCGGGTAAACACCTTTGTTTATTTGTTGAGCAAAATTCCTTTAGAATATCGTATATAATGACCAAAATATGACGCAATTTTAAAGTTTCAAATGCAACGTTTATATTCAAATTTGTTATGATCTACAACAGTTAAGTAGTAATTGAGACGAATTATAATTCAATTACCGGCTACTACGTTCTTGTTTTAATAGCTCAAAATTCAACAAATATAATTAGAAATTATTTTAATTGCGAGAGGCTCCCTTGTGGGACGCCTATGTACGGCGATTACGGCGCGGCGGAAACAATACCTACCTGTGAAAAGACAAATTCGGGTAATTTGAGCTTATTTTTCCACACATTTGACACTGTCGTACCATATTGAAAATTCGCAGATTCAAAAGTACGTTAAACAAAAGCAAAAACTACTGAAAAACACTGAAAAGTTCACTTCGGACTTGATTCCGACTTCAAACACACCGTAAGCTAAACGTAGTACGCTATAACGGATCAAGGGCCGTCGCGAGGGGTGGTGGGACGGACGGCTCATTTCATTCTGGAAGACTAGCAGCGACGTTACCAATAGTTCTAGACGTTTCAGCACATTAAACAGTAAACATGTTCTTTAATAGTAACGCATATGTCCTCTGGTTAATAACATATTATTACGCATGCTTCTTTAAAAATAAACTATTAATTTAATTAAGAAATTGAGATTTATTGATATCCGGTGAAGGTTTTAAAGTCACCTTTTCTGCAAATCAAACTAAGTAGATAGGCGCAAATTTGAGACGTGGCAATGTCGCCTTCTCTATCTCAGTTGGTTTTTACACTACGTAGTCAACCTCCGATTGTTTGATCGGGTTAAAATGCACAATGTGATATCTGTTCTTCCTAAATCTATGATATTTTCATTTACATGATTTGAACTGAGTAGATCTTTATTATTTGATAAAATCTAGGATGGCTGACGTTACTTCAATGTAGCTGTCTAATTAGTGCATCTTTAACAACTAGTTATCATTTTGTGGCAGTTAAAACAAAAAAATTTCTCAGGAATTTGCCGAAAATGCAATCTTATCCTACATCAGAGAGAATTGATATGATTCTATTAGTTGATGAATGCAGTGTGCATCGAGACAATCGAGTTCTACTTCCCGGTCTGGCTGTATGATTCCTTGTATGAATTACTAATTAATTTATGTAGCCACATACATTTTAGGTTAGATAAATGCACAAATAATACTTACTTCGTCTAATCGCAATAACTCTTCCGCTGACAAGGAGGCTCGATCCCGTTTTTGTTTCTCTTTCCGGTCCTTCTTGTCCCTCTTCCGTTTCTCCTTTTCATCTTTATCCGAAGTTACGCCTTTTATAAAGCTTTTGAACATCCTGGTGGTATATCTGTAAATAAAAATAAAGAGAAGTAAAATTGTCAAAACTATCATCCTAATGTTTCATTAAATTTCTGTATGATGAAAAAGTTTGTCTAGTGGTGAAAATTAAGAGTCCATTTCACTAGTCCGAAAAAGTCTCGGAAAAAGTAGCCAAATAAGCGTTCGGCATTTAACGTTTTATGTAAAACTGGATAGGTATTTTTACACAAAAATGAAGAAAGAAATTAAAGGTAAAGGATTATACTATATCTGTATTGTAGCACATTTTTAGACCATTTCTTTATTTTTAAGATTTTGATGGTCAAACATCCATAAAATATTCCTTATGTTTGGACTAAATTTTCTCGAAAATAAAAACAATTTAAAATTCCGTTACAATACGGAAATAGATTGAAGTTATGTGATTACAGTGATTTATAATTTATATGGTTTTGTAGCCTCCCTTAGGCAGATTTCTGAAATATTTCCTTCGGCCACACACCCGCTTTACCCGACTGCGACCCCTGAGAGCGACCCGAACAGTACAGCGTAATAGACTCTTAACTATACAGGGTGAGTCAACGATACAATAAAGTCCATTATCTCATTTGTTTCAAGGTTTACAAAATAATGTTTAATATAAAAGTTATACGGATGGTTAAGCTACACATTGTAAAATTATTATAGTATACAAGGTGCTTCAAAAAAGTGTGGCGGCTATAACATGTTTTTTTTTTAAATGCAACACTCTATTTTTTATTTTTTTTTAGATTTTGCGTAAAATTCCATAACTTTTTTATATTATAATGTTATATACCTAAAATTAATAGTTTTTGTAATATTTCAATTTATTTAAACAAATGTTAAATTGCAGTGTGGTAAAAAATTGTCAATGGTGCCATTGTTTCTGAAGTTGGAGTACCAAAATTTGGTAGGAGAGTTTTATAGAGATGAAAAAAAAAGATATATTATGAAGAAAAAGATTTATGAATTTCAACTACTTAAAATTAAAAAATCTAAATTTTTTAAATGGGACACCCTATTATCATTTTTTCTGATAGATTTTACGAAGGAAGTCATATACCTATTTTTAATAGTTTGCGATTTATTCCCACAAAAGTGGGCGAATTTTTAAAAACTCTCGAAGAGGAGAAGAGGAATCCAGCAAAGTATCATGTATGTTATATTTTTGGAAAGGTAATTTTAAATGATTTTCAATGAATTAAAAATATACAGGGTGTCCCATATAAAAAATCAAAATTTCTGTTGATAATTCTAAAATTATTAATTTAAAAAAAATATATTGAAATCATTAAATTCTAAGTAAAAAGATGATTTGGAAATGTTTTCATAAAAATAGAAAATATTCCATAGCAAAAAAGTTCACAGTTAACAGTTAACAGCAATTTGTTAAAAATGCACATTTTTGAAAAACATCCTGTACTTAATTCCGAAACGAACAGAAATCGATGTGCGGTTTTCACCATCATGTTTTTAATAAAAAATGAGCTCCAGGCAACGATATTAGTTTTCGTCTATCTCTTATAGAAAAAAGGGTTTCCCTTTAAAATCGTGGAATTTGACCCACCCTATACAGGATTGTAGTAATATTTAAAAAAAACTCTTTCATTACTTATAACTTATAACTAAAAAATTAATAATAATATTTTTGTTCCATCCAGTAAATAAATAAATATACAAATTAACTGTTTCATAAATAAAGTTCAAAGACAATTAATTCCACTCTTGACATTTTGGTAATAGACAAAATGATATTAACCAAGTGGTAAAACATCAATTGAAAATGAAAATTAGGATAATGGCCACACTAATGGTCAGCATCGGGACTTTTTGTTTGTTTAAATTCAGTAGATTCCTAGAAACGGGCCAACTATTTATTTTTACGAAATTGGATCACTTCCTACTTGTAAATATTTTTATGAATAGAGAACTTCATCTAATTTTAATAGTATTTTATTTACTATTTTTTTTATTTACTACCTCGAATAATATTAAAACTAGGTAGGTAAATTTCTCTATTCATAAAAATTTCATCTCAATGCATCCCTAGATTGCAGAGATATCTAGCCGGATAGAACAAAATCTGGGTTAATATAAAAAATACACAGAAAGGTGTTGGGGGTGATTGAATTCAACAAAATGAAACCTAAAATAGCAATAAACAGCAACTTTGTGCAAAGCTACGGAATAATGTGTTATACTATTTTATGTTCTATGACCTATTTCACTATTTCCCCATTTTCTCTTGTTGAAGATGCAAGAAGAGATGCCATAAAATAAATCAATAATTGCGAAAATGTTCAGTGGATTTATTCCGTTGTGTTACAAGTTTTAACTTAAATATTTCTAGCAATGATATATTAACATAATAATATAATAATTTATAATAACAAGCTCTAAAATTCACAAATATAAAACCTATGTTTTTGAACAGAACAACTAATGTCACCTTTCTACGGAGGTATTTGACCACAATTTTTTTAAGTGTTTTTTTATAAATATCGATGTTTAAATTAATAAGTATTTGTGACAATAATTGACGATTATTTCCAGGTCTTTCTAATATGTTAAAAATAAAGCAAGCATTAGCTCAAACAAGAAAAAATTTAAAAATTTGTTGTCTAAATAGATACTCTAGACTAGTAAATAAATAGGGGTAGGTTGTGAATTATTATATTTAAATAATTATGATAGTAATCAATAATAATCTATATTATAACATGGGTAAATATTTTTCTTTCTATATGGTACCTAGGTATATAGAATATAGGTACATTATGTATTTCGTTTTTCCAAAATATGTGTGATATTTTCCAAAATATATGTGACCTATATTATTACCTGTCCTTCTATGAAATAGTTTTTTGTTGCTGGTTGTAGTACAACAAAAATATTGGGGAATATTACTTTCTATTTAACTAAACAACAATAACATTCATACACACCTCTTATCTAAATGTTCCTGACTTAAAATCAATATTAGAATCCTTATATTGTTCAAAGATCTAACACAACACTCTTCATTATTAAACACAAAAACGAAAACACTAATGAAAACACTTAAAATCCTAAAAAATCGCTTTTTCACATATGTTTTGACAGTTCAACACCGATACACGCACCCACTAGACCATTGGTGGTTCAACTATTTTAATCATACTGTTTTGCTCTTACTCTACTACAAACAAATGTGAGTATTTATTTCTTGTCTTTGTCTATCGCGTTCAATACGCTGAGGGCAATAAAACTGTAGAAAAGGATAGAAGTTTTATCTCTATCTCAGTTTACGGTACTTAGGGTAATCGTGGAAAGATGGCAAGTTAATATTTTATATTTTAATGTTAGGCAACCCCATGACCGTGCTGTATAAGAGGTTGCAGGCCCCTCTATATTTTTTTTTAATTTAAAATTTTATATTAGTTACCGATGGTCTATAATTGTTTAAAAATCACTCAATAAAAACGCAATTAAAATTATTTGTTTAAACATTTTATTATATACTTTCCATTCTTTCCATATTAAAAAAAACTCGTGATTAAATATTCAAATTTCATTGATAAAAAGAATTTGACTGATTTGACAGATGACGTTAGCAGAAAATGGCGATAAATTGATTGAAAAGAACGTCATATGCTTTGTATTTCTTTAATTTTATATTTTTTGTGTTTTAAGATTTTTAATCTTTAGTAGCAAGTAGTTCTATCAGCAGATTCAAATTCAGTGTTACCGATATTTAGTGTTTAACTCTTTTTTTGGTACATTTTAAATAGTATTAACATTGTTAATCTAAGGTATTAACAATAGGTAAGATATTTATCTACAATAATGTCCTATAAAATAAAACCAGTAATGAGCCTTTAAATCGTTCTAGTCAACTAAAATGGAGAGTCCTTCGAGCTCAAGAGGTCCTTCTAAACTAGAACAGACCCAGCAACAGGTAAATGAAGTTGTTGGAATAATGCGTGTAAATGTTGAAAAAGTTCTTGAAAGAGATCAAAAATTGTCTGAGCTAGATTCAAGAGCTGATGCTTTACAAGAAGGTGGTAAAAGGTTTGAGCAACAGGCTCAGAAATTGAAACGAAAATATTGGTGGAAAAACATTAAAATGATGATTATTATTGGTGTTATTGCAGTTATTCTGTTAATCATTATTATTTGTAAGTATATTGTTATTATCTTATCAGAGATATCAGCACTTGCGATCTTTATGAAATTTTACCTGCATTATTTATAACTACTACCTTACTTCATATTTTCCCATATTTTGTTTTAGTTTTTATATATCATTTATAAGTTGTTTATTGTTTTAGTTTCACTAACTGGAAGTAGTAGCAGTGACTCTTCTGGTAACAAAGTGGAGAACACCAAGGCTATTGAAAACAATCCTAAGTAAATGGCATTGGTATGGTTTTATATTAATTATATGATATTCCAGAGTAATGTACTACTACTTCTTAATGCTTTTTCTTTTGGTTATATTTAGAGTATAAGATCTTTTCTTGTAACACAAATTAATTAAAGTGCCTTAAATTGTGTCAATACCAATATAAACAAATATTTTTATAATTTTTACCACATAGCTTAATCTTTATAATGTAATTTGTGACTACTTAATATCTTATACATTTGAGTATAAATTTTTAGTTTAAAGGTTTTATATAAAAAATGTGATTCGTAAAACCTCTATATATTTATTACTATAGGCAGATGTTTAAATACATAATTTATTAAAAATATATTTCTATAGCTATATTTCTCTATTAAATATTTCAAATATTTAATAGTACACATTTGTATTAGTTTACTGTTATCTGTATATACATATTAAATAAAACTTCAATATAAGTATTAATTAAAAATAGGTTTAGTTAGAATCATACCAAGTACCAAACCTCATGAAATTCTTATGCATTTATAGGTATACAGGTGTTTATTGTTGAGAAATGTGTGCTTATTGGCTTTAGAAAATAAGCAGTAATTACATGACTAAAAACTAAAACTAACAAAAAAACTATTGTTCTAACCATTTCCAAGAATTTGTACAGAATGATTTTATTATTAACAACTTACTGACTCATTTCTTTAGTGAAATATAATTGGAACAAAGTAACCAATCAAGTAGAAAAAGTTATTAACAATAACCATGATTAAAATCCTTGGTGCTATTAAAAATAATAGAAGTTATATAATTAATAATTAACTGATAACAGGTAAATTTAATAATTAATAAAATTGCACCAAATATGTCTAAACGCATTTTATTTAAAAAAGACTGTACTTAAACTGCCGTTAAACGGTAGCTTACTAAAATGCCGTTAATAGGTATGACGTCGTTGATGTGACGCACTTGACGGCTTTATGAAATAAGGAATTTAATAAGGACTAACCAACGCTATCCACCCCACCAAATAACCAACTTAACCAACGCAACTAACCTCGACACTGATAAAAAAATATAAAAAACAAATATAAATTAGTAAAAACCAACCAACCTCACCAAATAACCAACTAACCAATGAATTAACACCCTCCAAATAGCCACGCTAACCAACCCGCCAAATAACTAAACCAATCCAACCAAAAAGAGTGAAACCAATGCAATAAGATCACGCTATAAGCAAAAAAATATATAAAAAAGTCTTGGTCGGCGTAAGATGTAAACCAATGACCATTCGCTCACGAAGCGATAGTCTCAGCCACGGAGCCACAGGTGCTCTTGCAAAATGCTTATAGCCAGGCCAGAGGCCAGGCATTACTTTCCGTCGACATGAACGACGTCACAATATCTATTAACGGCATTTTAGTAGGCTACCGTTTAACGATGTTACGTTAACTACGATGTACTTAAACAGCCGTTAAACGGTAGCCTACTAAAATGCCGTTAATAGATATTGTGACGTGGTTCATGTCGGCTGAAAGTAATGCCTAGCTATCAGCATTCAGCATTTTGCAAAAGCACCTGTGGCTCCTTGACTGAGGCTATTGCTTCGTGAACGAATGGTCCGTGGTTAAAATCTCACGCCGACCAAGACTTTTTTATATTTTTTTTTGCTTATAACGTGATCTTATTGTATTGGTTTCACTCTTTTTGGTTGGATTGGTTTAGTTATTTGGCGGGTTGGTTAGCTTGGTTATTTGCAGGGTGTTGTTTCATTGGTTAGTTGGTTATTTGGTGGGGTTGGTTGGTTTTTACTAATTTATATTTGTTTTTTATATTTTTTTATCAGTGTCGAGGTTAGTTGCGTTGGTTAAGTTGGTTATTTGGTGGGGTGGATAGCGTTGGTTAATCCTATATTTCATAAAGCTGTCAAGTGCGTCACATCAACGACGTCATACCTATTAACGACATTTTTTAGTAAGCTACCGTTTAACGGCAGTTTAAGTACAGCCAAAAAACTATCATTTGTATTAAAAAAATTGTTATATTTGAAGTGACCCTTCATACTATTAAATTGAAAGATTTGAAGGACAGGTTTGAAAAACTGTAGTTTGAAATGCTGAGAAAGTAATAAATTAAAAATTAATAAATAATTTAATTCACTTTCACGAAATTTCATTAAAATGACCGTCTATCCGTCTGAGGACTTCATTCGTGGACCTCTATCCGAGTTTGGTTCCAATCGACCCATAATTAAAAAAAAATCCTGATGATTTCATCTATTTAGAGGCATCGGTTCGAAACATCGAGGGCGTCAACCTGTAGCCGGTTCTTAATTATGCCGAAATCGACACGTGTTTAGTAAACGTGTCGTACACGTTCAAATTGGCCTTGGTCCAATCTATTAACATACCAAATTTCATTTAAATCGAGCGGTTTTTTCGCCATTGATGATGGTATTTCATAGTGCATGAAACGTCATCTACATTCCAAGTTTCAGCCCCCTAGATCACATTGGGCCCGAGTTACGACGTTCCAAAGACCCATCTCAACTTCCTCATTGGTTTTTCGATCATGACATGTGTCGTAACGCTAGCTCGTATGTCACGACTTTGAATTTTCAGAATTTTTAGTCCCAGGGCGGCCTAAAGAAGTTTAATTTCAAAAAAAGTAAAGTATCTTAAAGTTAACTTCTCCTATTTACTGCTAAGACTAATCTGAATGGAGCCTACTTTGTTTACGTGGTCCTCGGCCATATCATTATCAGTGGCCTGCCGACTTGACTGAAATCGACTCTCAAGGCGGGTTCACATGAGTCAGATGAATTGATCACTTGAATTCAGTTCACAATGAAGTCACTTGAATTCAATTCGCATGAATGCAATATGACCATCTAAACTCGATACATCCTGTCAATTGATCAAGTGAGTTCATTCTAAAGTTTCATTCAGAACCTCGAAATCAGTGGAATAAATTAGTAGTTTCAATTAGCCATAGAAGTTTGTTCACCTAATTTTAATGTAAGTATTCAGAACGTCATAATTAGTGGTAGTAATTTTTAAGGCTGTACTTAAACTGCCGTTAAACGGTAGCTTACTAAAATGCCGTTAATAGGTATGACGTCGTTGATGTGACGCACTTGACGGCTTTATGAAATATAGGAATTTTATAAGGACTAACCAACGCTATCCACCCCACCAAATAACCAACTTAACCAACGCAACTAACCTCGACACTGATAAAAAAAATTAAAAAACAAATATAAATGAGTAAAAATCAACTAACCCCACCAAATAACCAACTAACCAATGAATTAACACCCTCCAAATAACCACGCTAACCAACACGCCAAATAACTAAACCAATCCAACCAAAAAGAGTGAAACCAATGCAATAAGATCACGCTATAAGCAAAAAAAATATAAAAAAGTCTTGGTCAGTGTGAGATTTGAGCCCCGGACCATTCGCTTACGAACCGATAGCCTCAGCCACGGAGCCACAGGTGCTCTTGCAATATGCTTATGGCTAGGCATTACTTTCCGCCGACATGAACGACGTCACAATATCTATTAACGGCATTTTAGTAGGCTACCGTTTAACGGCTGTTTAAGTAGGTACATCGAATTTTTAATTAGTGGAAAAAGTTAACAAACTTTTGACTTTTCCACTAATTATACTTCAAAATTTGGGAGGAATGTCATTTTGGCCTTTATCACCCGTCAAGAAAAATTTTGGTTAGAAATCAAAAGTTTATTGTTTTATAAGCTAAATATTATGCTTTCTTTATGGATACAACAGACTACCGCTGGCTGTTACTATAGGATCTTTTATTAATTTTAATTGTGTTTTTTAGACATTATGAATTGATCGTAAACTAAAAGGTATAAAGTGTAATTGAAACCACTAATTGGGAGGTTTTGAATGAAGCTTAACGCTGCTTCGGTGATGTTATGACTAGCAAATAAAAAAAACTACATTGATATAGTAAAAATGATTTATCAATCTTTTTTGAAATATATGCATAACAGTAACATTGTAAAAAGCTATTCTTATATTATGTTCTTATATCTTCCAAAATACTGTTACGGATTCCGTGGGTCCACTATTTAATCTCACGATAAAATACTTAACGAATTTATTTTCTCACTTTATACACAATTACTAACTTATAACACACAACAAACTAAGATTCCTTCACCAAATTGTCCGATTTTCAATTTCCACGCGGTATATTCAAATTTCAAAAAACTGTCTCAGTTGTCGATGGCTCCGGCTTATATACTCTATTGACTGCTTCTCGAAATTTCCCCAATTCTCGGAAAGCGTACTTCTTCATACCAGACAATTCTATTGTCTGATTCCCTTACTTCTCGACTTGACTAAAAGATGGCGCCTGAAAAAGTCTTTTAATTTCTGGCGGATACGTTGCGGTTGTGCAGGCAACCAGTAATACATTTTCTGGCGGATAGGCCATTTTTCTTGACATTGCCCCTTCTCAAATTTGATCGTCCCGATCAAGGTTTCACTGTCTGGTATCTCTTCATCGATCCAGATGAACTACTTTCATCTTACTTCTAGGGCTGCGTTGAATCCGGTACACAACATCATTTATCCTCTTGATGACTGTATAAGGACCTTCCCATGCTGGAGTTAACTTTGGGGACCTCCCTTTCTTGCGCTGTGGGTTATATAACCATACCATATCGTCCTGTTGAAATCCCGTAGAATTAGCTCTGAGGTCGTAACGAGCTTTCATCCGGTCACTGGCTAGCGTAATCTTACTTCTCACGGCCTTATGAATTCCCAATAACCTTTCCTTCAGTTCATCCGCGTAGTCCTCTACGTTCGTGGTGCTGTCGTCTGGTGATCCGAACACCAAGTCACAAGGCAACCGTAATTCTCGACCAAATAAAATCTTCGATGGTGAAAGTCCGGTGGTGTTGTGAACTGCACTTCTATATGCCATTAGGAATAGTGGTATATGCTGATCCCAATCTCTTTGATGTTCATCCACCATTTTCGAGAGATGTTCTTCAATGGTCTTATTGAATCTCTCGACCATCCCATCAGACTGCGGATGTAAAGCTGTTGTCCTAGTCTTGTGAATACCAAGCAGATCACACATCTTCTGGAACAGTCTTGACTCGAAGTTCCTTCCTTGGTCAGTGTGAAGCTCTAAAGGAATTCCAAATCTACTGAAGACATTATTGACTAATACTTCAGCTACATCGATGCTTCTTGGTTTGGAATGGCAAAAACTTCTGGCCATTTACTGAAATAATCCATCGCCACTAAAACGTACTTGTTGCCCTTGTGCGTTTCAGGGAATGGGCCTGCAATGTCAACAGCGATTCTTTCTAATGGCAGTCCAACGTTATATTGTTTCATTTTTCCCCTAGATCGACTGCTTGGTCCTTGGCTGGCTGCACAAATTTTACATTGTCTACACCATTTCTTGACATCTTCGCAATAATCCACCCAGTAAAAGCGATCTCTCAGCTTGCTCAAGGTCTTGTTTACCCCAAGATGGGCTCCAGTTTTACCACCGTGAATTTCTTCCAATACCTGGGTAACTTTCTTCCTTGGTACCAGTAACTGAGCTGTTACTGCGCTGCCATCCGCACTTTCCCATGTGCGCTTTAACAATGCATTCTCAATAACCAGTGAATTCCACTGAGCCCAGAGAGCTTTGAAAACGAGCCCTCTGTCCGCAATATCCTGCCACGGTGGTCTCTCGCCGTTACCTTCCTTGAGCCGTAGTACTGCTCCGATGTCTGGATCTTCCATTTGATCTTTCCTCAATTGTGTCGTCGTCCACTGTTCATCAGCTCCAAGCTTAAAACTCCTTATTCTGATAGTGCTTTCGCGATGTTTCATTTTCTTGTCCAAGGTAGCTCGTCGTCGATCTAGGTCGTTGTCGATAATTTGTACCCGTCCTACACGGCACCCAACGGTTTTCTCTAGTTTCCCGAACACAGTCTTCTTGGTATCACCAGGTATCATCACAATTTTCGATAATATTTCTTCCATATTTCCTGGTCTCTTCTCTTTAGATACAGAAAATTCCTCATTTCCGATTTTCAGGATGTTTCTATGGTGATCAAACGAAAAACCATGTTGACTGATCACATCCATACCCATGATAAAATCATCTTCAATGTCCGCCACTAAAACGCTATGCCGAAACTTCAAATTCCCTAACTCCAATTCCATGAAAGCCTCTCCCCGTACAACGGCCATTTCCCCCGTAACTGTACGTAAATACACTCTTCTTCTAAGAGGCATCATCTTCAATCCTCGCACTGAGTTAGTCTGCACCAACGATACCATAGCGCCTGTGTCCACAGTCATTCGATTTCTTCTACCATTGACCTTCCCGTTGATCACCAAACTGTCAGCGGTTTTTCCTAGACTCCTAACGGAAAACATCCTAGGGGCTCTGTTTTCTTCAGCCAATACTCGCTCATTAGTGTTGATTTCCGGGTGCCTATGTTCTCTCGATGGTAAACGGAATCGCATTTGGACGCGGCAATCCCGTTTGATGTGGCCATTCCTGCCACATCTATAGCAACTTATGTCCTGGGATCTTCCGATGTGCCGATGTTCTCTGGATGGTGAATGGAATCGCATTTGGATGCGACAATACCGTTTGATGTGGCCATTCCTGCCGCATCCATAGCACCTCATGTCCTGGAATCTTCTTTGGTTCTCTGTCTGGGTGTTGTTGACTTACTTGTTTATTAGTAGCTCACATAGTTTGTCGAATTTTCTACACATCTCCTCCAAACTTCTGTGGGTACTCTCGGGCTGTTCCTCTACCGTTACCGATCTTATCTTCGGTCTAGGGATGGCGCTAAAAGCAGCTTCGATTTCCAGCGCCCTGACCAGTGCTTCGCTGCTGGTAGAAAATCAGGATATTTGCAGCGCCCTCTGCGCCTGATAAAGCACTGAGCAGCGAGTTCCTCCCTAAATCCTTCCGGTGCTTCAGGATACGCTAGGTGTACCAGCCGACTAAGTCTGCTTCAAATTCCTGCAGACTCTCTCCGGACCTCTGCAGGCGTGTCTTGATCTGGGCCTGGTAAAGTTGGCGTCGATGTTGGTCGCCATATCTTCTGTCCAGTGCAGCGACCAAAGTTTGGTATTCCTGCTGTTGGGCTGCAGGAATAGTTTGCAACAGTTCCAGGGCAGGGCCACGCAGCGCGATGACAAGTGCCGCTGCTTTCTCCTGGTCAGTCCATCCGTTGGCAGCGGCGGCTGCTTCAAACTGACGGTGGTACATTGTCCATGTCGTTTGTCCATCGTAGGTCGGGGCCTTAAGGTTCGCTGTTCCTTGAACGCCAGGTGTCTTTACTTGTACCTTGGTCTTCTGTAGGTCCATCTCCAATCTTTCTATCTTCTGCTGAAGGCGCTCCTCCAGATCTTCTACAGCTTCTTGGAAGTGGTTCTGTTGTTCCTGGCAACGTACTTCCAACATTGATTGTTGCTTTTTTTCCATTTTTTCGAAACTTTTCTTGATACGGTCCTGCTCTTCAAGTTTTTCTTCTTGTCGACGCACTTCAAAACCTTGTAAAATTTTCTCGATCCGGTCCTGTTCCTCTTGTCTTTCTTTTTGATGACGCGCCTCTAAGCCTTCCAGAATTTTCTCAAGCCGGTCCTGTTCTTCTTGTTTATCTTTCTGGCGACGCACTTCTAGATTTTCTACAATTTTCTCCAACCGTTCTTGTCTAATTTCTTGATTCTCCATAAGCATTTTCTGTAGTTGGTCTTGTTCTTCTTGACGTCGTAGTTTTTCCTCTTCTTTTTCTCTACGGAGTCTTTCTTGTTCTTCTGCCTTCTCTCTTCTCATATTCTCCATAAAATCGCCCAATAACTTGCTTACTTCCTCCATTTTCTTCGCTTGTTCTCTTGTACCAACCATAAAAATACTCTAATTGGGTCTAAAAATCTTCCAATCCACTTAATTTCTTCTTAAAATCCTCTTGAATCGCACTTCCGACACCAATTGTTACGGATTCCGTGGGTCCACTATTTAATCTCACGATAAAATACTTAACGAATTTATTTTCTCACTTTATACACAATTACTAACTTATAACACACAACAAACTAAGATTCCTTCACCAAATTGTCCGATTTTCAATTTCCACGCGGTATATTCAAATTTCAAAAACTGTCTCAGTTGTCGATGGCTCCGGCTTATATACTCTATTGACTGCTTCTCGAAATTTCCCCAATTCTCGGAAAGCGTACTTCTTCATACCAGACAATTCTATTGTCTGATTCCCTTACTTCTCGACTTGACTAAAAGATGGCGCCTGAAAAAGTCTTTTAATTTCTGGCGGATACGTTGCGGTTGTGCAGGCAACCAGTAATACATTTTCTGGCGGATAGGCCATTTTTCTTGACAATACTTATTTCCATTTTGTTATTTTTCTAGCATTGTCAAATTTGTTACTTTCTATTTTATTTTGGTTTTTAAATTTTTAAACAATATAGGGTTGGGTATTTTTTTAATAAACAATTAAGAAGACATTTACATACACATTCATTAAAATAAATATTTTAATTAACATACAAAATACAAAACATTATACATAAAATTTATTTTTATATTTTCTCTATCAGTTAAAGATGTTTTTTTTTTACTTTTTACTAAAATTAGTAGATGAAAATTAGTGAAAAATAAGTAATTTATATTTTTAAGTTAATACATTCAAGTTCAGTCAAAAAATATATTAAAGAAACCAAATTTATGCTTTATTATATCTTTGATATTTTCTGTCTGACTTTATGTTCTAGCTTCAGGTCTTCTTAGTTCTCAGATCCGTCTGATCTTCCTATTGTCCATCACGACCCACTGGTTTATCGCGTCCTCTGGATCCATCAGGTCTTGGGCCTCCTGGCCCTCTTGGACCCCTAGGTCGTCCCCCAGGGCCACCAGGTGGCCTTCTTGATTTTTCAAACTCTGTAAATTTATCAGACTCGCCTAAATTTGTACCGTCGGAATGGCTGTCTTCAATTGCTCTATTATCATTATTTGACTCTAGTTGTTGTTTCCACATGCTGGCATACACTCCTTCTACTTTGGACACCAGATCGGAATGTCTATGATAAAATAAAGTAAGGCATGTTAAATTTAAATTCAATTAATCTGTAGCCATTGGTACAGTACATTGAGCAAAAAATGAGACTATTTTATTATTTAGTGTTATGTAAAAATAAGACATTTATTATAAGGGTTAAATATGTTTACAATATTTGGTTTTTAAGATATTTAATAGATATTTTTTATACAAGACAATAAAATTATATTTTATCGTCGACCGAAAAGATTAATTCACGAGCGATGAAATCGCGAGTGTATTAATTTCGGGAGACAATAATGCAATTTTATCGTCGTGTATAAAACAACATTTTTTTCCATAGCTAATTACGTTTTAAAAAATATTCAGAAATTATTATTTCAAGGAATTTATTACGAGTAGAAAAAATATTGTGCTGGGTTGGCGTTGGTTTCTATGCAATTTGACAAATAAATAAAGCTGTCTCTTTAGTTGTCAGTTTTGAGTCAATATTTTTTAATTCTCTTTCGTGCCGATTGCTGATTGAATTGGAGCCAGAAATGGCTCAAAACGAAATAAGTAAGTTACCAACAGATATTCGGGCGACAAACGCCAACCAAACTACTTCCATTTAAATCCCGAATAACTTATGAAAAGGAATACAAAAATTTTCAAAAATGGAAGCAAGTAAAAAACGTGCGAGAAGAAATAAAGTTTTTAACCTATCCTTGCTGTTAAAAGTATTATTTAATCTACCCTTGCGGTTAAAGTACTATTTATCTACTATTTTTGATAGATATAAGATAAGGCAATTTTAACAGTTGCTATGGAAAAAAGATATTTTAATTTGCATGCTACAATAGAATAGATTATGAACACCTTGTATACTACTTTTCAGAATTAATTCTTGTGCTAAGTTTAAAGGTAGAAAAATAAACTTGACTGAAAATGTTTATTGCTTCCTTAAATTTGTATAGGGGTACCAAAAATTGCTGATCTATTTTAAATATTTATTTTACATAAAAACTTCACTAATTCAAATACAATACTATGTATTATTTTTTTAAATAAGTCGAAGCAGATTTAAATGGTCTTGCAGAACTATATTAGGGTTTCCTATACCTATCTAGCGCAGATTTTAAATAATGACTAATTTTTGAATAAAATGGCAACCAAGAAGGCGGATGTCGTCATGGAAAGGTTCTAGTGACAGTTGACAGCTAATAGCTATTCAAAATCGAAATTAGTTTATGGACTTTATTTAAATTTACAACAATTTTTGGCACCCTTGTATAAATTTAAGGAAGTAATAAAAATGTTTCAGTATATATTCTGAAAAGTAATGTACATGGATGTTAATAATCTATTCTAACGTAGCATGCATATTAAAATATCTTTAAATATCTCAAAAACCAAAGATTTGAAACATATACTAGCTGCCCTTATAATACATGCCTTTTTTAGGCTCCAAACATCGCAAAATTAAATAAAATACGGGGTGTTCCATAAGAAAAAATATAACATTGGTATGGATCTTAGTTCTGAAACACCCTGTATATTTCAAAATAAATTTAAATTGTGCACATTGCCTCCCCACATACCGTAAAATGGGGTGAATAGTACATAGTGGTGAAAAGAAACAAAATTTCTGAAAAATATCAAATCACGATTAAAAATATTCAAAGTAAAAAGAGTTGACATATCTAATTTTTCTATCATTGGTAATACACAATAAAATGTAAAAACTATATTTTTATCTGTAGCAGCACTGTTTCTGTCAATCAGCTGATCAATAAATGTGAGATCGATTTATCACCTATTTTGTATGGCGCGAAAACTTTATAAATAAAATATTTATTTTTAAAGTAATACATAAGCTGGTACATGTAAGTTGTTATATTATATGTATTGTTAGTTATTGTTAAGCCTACTTAAATATGTAATTATTTACTGTTTCTAATCACCTTGTTGGAAGTAGAATAGATAAAAACCTTAACATCAATGTGTGTTTCTATTCTCCCGAATAGCAGGTGAATAGAAACACAAATGTTATTTTTATTTAATATTTATACGCATATTTTTCAAAAATCAAATTATATGTATACGCAAAGAACAAACAAAGACCCATGTTTTAAAATATTCGGGAAAATAATACCACATTTTTATCAACCGGTATGTCGCTAATAGCCTACGAAACTGTTTCTATTCACCCCATTTTACGGTACACCCATAAAATATTTTTCATTCTACATCTTTCCGTTTTCGTATAATGAACCGAGGCAAATGAGGTGCTCCACCCTGTATAATTAATAATACAAACCTTCCTCTTTCGATGATTTCACCATCTTTTAGCACTAAAATTTCGTCTGCGTGAATGATTGTGGATAATCTGTGGGCTACTATAACAGTTGTCCTGTTAATGCACATTTTATTTAACGAATCCTGTATATTTCTTTCTGTATTAGTGTCTAAGGCGCTAGTTGCTTCATCCAGTAGAATTATAGTTGGCGCTTTGAGCAATGTTCTAGCAATAGCTACTCTTTGTTTTTCTCCGCCGCTCAGCCTTAAACCTCTTTCTCCAACCTAATGAAAGTAATCGAGTAAAGTTTATTTTACATTACAGAATATGGTGGTACCCTAGATCATATACAGACTGTTAACTGGACAGTTACTTATAGGGAAACAGAATGGCAACACTGCCTATTGAGAACGCATGCACTTATGAGGTTTTCTGTCGCGTCGTCTATCGACGAGCGGGCCGAGGTTGCCATATTTCAACCATAAAGCTTTTGCCGCGCGTAATAAGCAAATTAACAACCTGTGTACTTACGTGGATAAATCAACGCCATAAGTTTAGCATTAAAAAATGTCTCCAACATCACAACATGCCATTTTCAAACCTTCTTTATTGCACTTATGAAACGTTCAATGGGTGTGCCTTTCTCGAGGACCTTACTTTGCGCATGCGCATTAAAAATTGCAAAATTGCCAACTTTTCATTGTCGTCATATTGTCATAATCATATGTTATAATCGTATTTCCATTATGTAATGACGCTTGTTTTTTGCGTTTATTAATTTAAAAATTGTATTAATTACTCTTTTATCGACCGCTTTTATATAATAGCCAAGGATGCAAGTGTATTCAGTGAGAAGTTAATTTTAAGTTTGTGCAATTATATTTCTATTTTTTTTTTCGTTGGACTTTCTAAATACTCGTAAAAATGACTAGAAAGTGTTTAATGTATGAAAATTCTAATATAGAGGTTCCCGAATTATCTTTTCGTAGGCAAGTAAAGTATTCAGTTGTTCTTTTATTTACATTAAGCCATATGCATACTTTCTGGTTAGATTTCCTAAGAATATTGATATTCGTAAGGAGTGGCTAAATGTATTTTTTATATAATTTAATTTTTGTGACAGTAAACATTCAATTTATTGTTCAAATTTGGCGCGCAGACGATAGGGATAGATCGACAGGGATAGATAGAGTAGAAGCACCGCGTGTGCAACAAGAAAAGAAGATAAATGGAAGTCGAAACTTATCCACGTAAGTATATATTATCTAGGGGTGGTACTTACAGTGGTATCATATTGTTGAGCAAACGACATTATTCTGTTGTGAATATCCGCGCCCTTAGCTGCTTCTATTACGTCAGCATCATTAGCTGTTATTCGTCCATATTTTATATTATATCTATTGTAAAAGGAAAGAAAACATAAGGTATGTCCCCGGATTGACTTTACAAAAGGAAAAACTTTTTTATTATTGACGTTTTGAGAAAAATGCATTCTTCATAAAAAAAATAACTTCTTCTTTTGAAATGGTTAATCCCGTTTATACTTTTCCAAATTACCGTACCGTTTTAGAAAAAATAAAAAAAAAACATGAAAATATGGTTGAATTTTAAGAAAGTCCTAAAAATAAAAAGACGTTTCTACGGTAATATAATTTCTATTTTATTCTTTGATTATTGATAATTAACTTTGATTAACGTCATATTTTTGCTGTTGATAAAATATCACATTTTTCCTCATTTTCCGATAACTATTCCATAGATAAAGGAAATAAATTTAGACTGGAAAGCCCGTCAAAATTTAGGGTCGCAAAATTGTTTTGGGTTGCGACCGTTATACGCGATCTGCCGCTACTATAGCCGTTGCTAAGAACAACCGCAAACAATAACTGGCAATAACAGAAATAATTTTCTCTTGTCAAAGTCAGAATATGGTCAGAATCTTCAAAAATTATAAAGTCTTTCAAAATTTAAACCGCGCTAAAAGTATTTAAAGCGTCCATTCTCAAGGTAATTATTGCTATATTGTGAGTTTAATTTAAATTTTATTTACTCAAATCCGTGATAATTGTGAAAAAGTGGTATTAAAAACTTAAAAAGCTGTGTTGTGAACTGCTAAAACCATCGTGGATCTTGGCACAACGTCGATTTCCAATATTTCATAGGTATTTCATATATGTCCTTATATAAAATAAAGTGTCTTGTATGCAACACACTGTACTTTATAAAATTAAAAGAAAATAATAATAAATTTGAATAAATAATATTTGGCGACATAATTCCGGAAAAGGCAGAACCGATCCGAAATTATCAAAAGCTTTGGGTCGCGACCGTTGCAAGAATAGCGCCAAATAGTATTTACATTGTCCTTATGGGCACTTTCCAATATAACCTTGTTTCATTTATCTATGAACTATTCTCACCATTTCCGTAGCATTGACCTAAATGAATTTTGTGCTTCTTTAATATTTTAAAACACCAAAAAATATGACGTTAATTAAAATTCTATCAATAACAGTCTATCAAAGAATGAAAACGAAATTATATTACAATAGAAACATGTTTAGATTTTTAGGACTTGAACAAATTTAACTATATTTTCATGTTTTTTTTAATTTTCTCTAAAACGGCATGGAAATTTGGAAAAGTATTAACGGTATTAACCATTTTAGGACAAGCAAAAATTTTTATGAGTAATGCATTTTTCTCAAAATTTCAATAATAAAAAAGTTTTTCCCCTTATAAAGACAATCCAATTATATCTATCGGAAGAGAAAAAAATATAGAATTCATATCATTTAACTCTCTTATGAAACTTTGATTACTTACTTGATAGTATTATTAAATAGTACAGTATCTTGCGGTACCACCCCAATAATTGCTCTTAAAGACTCTTGTGTTATTTCAGTTTTAACATTGTAACCATCAACTGAGATAGATCCACTTTCAACATCATAAAATCTAAACATCAGTTTGATGATTGTACTTTTACCACTACCAGAGGGACCAACCTAAAAAAGAATATTATTTGAATATTTAAAAAAACGCTAGTGTCACATAACTATAGGCTTATAAAAAATGTCTATATCTATGTGGCGGATTCAACCCTCCAAAAAATCAAAAAAAATTGACTTGTTAAAATGTCATTTTAACAGAACGTCAACGATTTTTGTAGACATATCTGTTTTAAAACACTAAATTGTTCTCGAATAGTCGAATTTAAATATTTTAAATAGTTTTTTTCTTTATTCTTTGTATTTTATTTTTGCTTCCGACAACGCGACGGAAAGAGATAAACTTTCCGAAACGTTAAGCATTTGTTTGTTCCTTAGGCAAATTTGTATATCTGTAAACCTAACTTCTGACAAGTATTTTCCGTTTGGATTAGCGCAGCAGTGTTTACAAAAAAAAAATAACTATTTTATTTTGTAGATTTTCTTGCAGTGGCGTAATACCCATATAAGATTTTTTGGAGAAACTATAGGCTTGGTGCATTTCAGTTGATTTTAAAAATTTCGACCGCAGCGCTGTATACGGCAGAAATTAGAAGTGTCGGTTATAAAGTATGTCACGCAGTTCCGTTATCGTTTATATGTCAACTGCATTGAAATAATATTAAAATCGCGGCTTTGTCATAATATTTAAGTATTTGAATTTTTACTAGTGCAGTTATTGAAAACTATAAAACACTTAGGTACGAGGTTGGTGTGATGTAACGCTGTTTTGGGTAGTAAAAATTAAATGAAAAAGAACCCAAACTAGGCGTCACGTTGTTTTGTGACAATTTCAAATGTTAATAGAATTGCCGAAAAAATGTCAACGCGTAAAGGAGGGCGTAATTAGGGCGCTGTTGGGTGCAATAACATTCAATAACTCTATTATATTCCCGTATATTCAACTCTCCCGAAACAAGATTTTAGAGCTTCACATATTATTTATGACCCTAGCAAAACCGGTACGGAAAACTACGCTCGCTACCGTATTTGAACTCATCTAAAAAGGTTTTTTATCTTGAATAATATATTATAATACAAGTTAGACCTTCTGAAGAAATCAAAATATTTACTATTTTATTTTTTTTAGAATTTTCACTAATTATACTTCTTAACTGTCATTTAAACCCGCGTATTTGTATACGCCGGTTGTTTACGATATTCTCCGATGGTGGCAACACCGGCGGAGAATGCACCAAGCCTGTAAGGTGGGACAAACTAAAACCGCCCACTCTTCTTGGTGAGACAATTCCGTTTGCGGAGGAAGTTAAATATCTAGGATTAAACCTGGACAAAAAACTTAGCTGGAACTCCTATCTGGAAAAAATATCAAAAAAGGCTTGCTATGCTCTATGGGCATGCCGCCGAATTTGTGGTAGAAACTGGGGATTAAACCCCAAAAATATGTACTGGCTATACGTGACAGCCATCAGACCTATTATCACGTATGGTGCAGTTGCCTGGTGGCAGAAAGCCAACCAAACAACGGCAAAGAATAAACTGTCAAAATTACAACGACAAGCATGCTTAGCGGTGACTGGTGCCTTTCATTCTACGCCGTCAAAAGCTATGGAAACCCTACTCGACTTACCCCCTCTTCAAATTATTTTGGAGAGGGAGGCGAGATGGGCTACATATAGGTTTCTAAATATGGCACGAGAGAGCCAAGGAACAATCATGTTCATATAAAACCGACTAGTAGACGAACTACAATCGGATGAGATTCTCGGAATGGTCTCGGATCTCACACCACCAATCCAACTCTTGACGCGCACCTACAACGTCCTGTTTCCAAATAGGGACGAATGGGATAAAAGCCGAGAAACGGCTTATTACTTGCGGAAATGTGTTGGTACACGGACGGATCCAAAAACGATAAAGGATCTGGCGCAGGAATTTACTGCAGCAGTCCAAAGATTGAGATCTACCAGTCTTGGAAAACACATCACTATTTTCCAAGCCGAGCTATATGAGATTGAAACCTGTGTGCAACTGCTAGTAGAACAGCAATACACCGGGAAACCAATAAGCATATTTTCGGATAGTCAAGCCGCGTTGAAAGCACTTGAGGCAACGAAAAGTACGTCCAGGACGATTCTTCATTGTAAGAAACTACTCAATATATTAGGAGATGGAAACAAAGTGTCGCTAATGATACCGGGACATGTCGGCCTAGAGGGAAATGAACGTGCTGATTCCCTCGCCAAAACTGGTGCAGGCTCGCAATTCGTGGGCCCAGAACCGACACTTAGCGTACCAAAAAATCTCGCAAGAGACAGGCTCTGTGAATGGGTTAGGGGTGTGACGTTTCGGGACTGGTATGACAGTCCCGGAATGGAACATGCCAAGACAATCCTAGTAGGGCCATCCAAACGTAGAACAGATGAACTCCTAAAGGCTGGTAGGAACGGAGCGCGTACACTTACTGCAGTATACACGGGCCACTGCCGGCTGAGATCACACCTACAGAGGATGGGACTGGTGGAAGACGCCGAATGCCGACTCTGTATGGAAGATGATGAAACAATGAAGCACGTTATGTGTACCTGCCCCGCTGGAGGCAGGACCAGGTTTGAGGTGTTTGGCAAACCCACGCTAGACCTGTCAGACCTAGAAGACATATCATCCTAGGACATAACGGCCTATGTTAAAAGGCTGGGTCTTGAGGGTGAACTTTAATGCTCTTTTTCTATTAAAGAGCTTGTAGAAACTGAGCCACAATAGGCCCTCGCGGCCTCAGTGGAGGGTCCCACCTGGGACTTACTCTTAGTAAAATACAATAAGGTGGGAAGTTATTTTCTATGTCAACTTCTACTGCCTATAGACGATAACTTGCAATAAAAAAATATGGATCTCTGACAAAGGAATGACAATACGTTAGGTGCTAATATCGAGGCTGTATTCCGTTGCAAAACCGGGCGAACCAGACCGCTTAGCTACGGTAAAGAGCGGTTCCTGAAAAACATCGGTTTGGTAAAATACTGGAAACGTCAAATGTTTACGTTTCCTAAATTTCAATACCTCTATTAAAAAAATTATCTTTAATGCATTTTTAATGTATCTATTCCCTGCTTTTACGTTTGCTTCTTCTTTTCAATGGAGTTTAATATTGAAAAGTACTTTATTAATAAACTGTTAAACTCGTTAGATAACTCAAGTGAAGATTTGCAGGTCCAATATTAAAACAGATCAATAATAAATAAACAAATCTATACAATATTTATATTTTTATAGCTTACAAAACATTCACGATTACTTGTTGTCTTGTTTTCATGTTTTCTTTAAATGTTCCTGACTTTAAGAGACAATGGCTGCATGATAAGTTTAAATGGTCCTAAAAAGTCATTCTATTTAGTTAATGAAATGTATTTACCTTTACTGCCTACCTTCATTGCTTTTGGATGTAAATACAAAATATTACAAATTTTAAAAATTAAATGAGAATTTCACTCGAATTTTCAATATTTGCTTGATTTCTGTCACAGAAATGACATTGATTGACAAACAAATCCAGAAAAAGCCTTCTCGCTAGTTTGTTTGGTGACAGTTATAACCGAATTTTTCAGGAACTGTGTTCCGTAATAAGAAAACTTTCAGGAAACCGATAAAAACGGAACATAAAACCATAACCAAGGTAGGTAAGCAACGGAATACACCCCGAGTGAAGAAAAAGCGGACGCAATCGTCAACTTGCAATCGTGAATCTAACTATAAATATATGGTTAACTTACTAAAGCGACTGTTTTCCCAGGGGGCACCGAAAAACTTATGTTTTTCAATATGATTTTTTCTGGAGTGTATCGGAATGTTACGTCACTGAACTCAATACCGCCTCCTTTGGGTATTATAGCTCCTGCATCAGGGGCGTCAACTACTTCTTGCTCTTGGCGCAACAGATCAAACATGTTCTCCATGTCCACAAAGTTGTTTTGGATTTGTCTGTGCAGAGAAGAATCAATTATATTTTCATGTCACTAAACTAAACAGTATAACAAAATTATTATAACCCCCATTCTTAAACGACTACTTTATATCTTAAAGGATTATTCTAGCTTCAATAATCTGTTAACATTGTGTTTATCTGATATTTTTTTATTTTTATATTATTAATTTACCGGTACTGCATTCCAAACATATTAAGTGGCGCGTAGAGCTGAACAATGTAAGATGCAAACAATACGTAGTCGCCAACGTTAAGCTCTCCTTTGTTAACCACCAAGTAAGCACATAACAAACTTCCAGCTAATAAACCTCCATTAGCGATTAAATTTTGAGCTGAACTCATCATATTCATGGTAATTGTCGATTTCCATTCTTCAACCTAGGGCAGAAACGTATGTGTCATAAAACTAATTGATAATACGCGTATTATAATTATTTCTATGCTATATTTTGGATAAGAACGAAATTAAAGGCTATTGCACTAATGTTGAATTGAATAGTTCAGATAGATATGTAACTCTATTATTAAATCTGAAGATAATACACAGAGTGGTCCGAACTGTATTCCGGAAACTTCGGCAGCATATTCTGCAGATAAAAATAAGTAAAAAAGTTCATATAAATATGTGCCCTAAAATGCTTAGTTTCGGAGATACAGGGTGTAGAAGTTTCATTTTTATTTCGATTTTTTCCAAATAATTTCTGTTACTCAAGATTTGGATCAAAATTGGTGTCTGGGTGTTTTTTGACATGAGAAATTTAATTTTGATGTCAATATGACTCCTATTTATACAGGGCGCCATCTACATGTGTTTTAACTCTTTTGGAGAGTAATAACTTTTCGTCCGTACCTGTATAAAACTACTGAGTGAAAAATTATACATTTCTGTGACTTTTTACGTAAAAAATGTCCCTTGGTAAAAGTCACTACGAACAACCGTTCTCAAGATATTTAGAAGGGAAATAGTCAATACATGTCATTATTGACAAAAAATAGGCATGTTGAGTAGACAGATATTTGACTGAAATGATAAATTTGGGAACTTTTTATTTTTTTTAATTAATCTTAAATTTTTCTAAAAAAAATGATGATAAAGAACTTTTAGCACAAAAACATTTCAAATTTATGATTTCAGCCTAATAACTATTTAGTCAACATGCTTAATTTATGACAAAGATGACAGGTTTTGATAATTTCGATTCCAAATATCTCGAGAACCATTACTCGTAGCGATTTTTACTAAGAGACGTTTTTTACGTAAAAAACGTTGTAAATTCATTTTTTTTTACTCAGTTGTTTTATACAGGTACGGACGAAAAGTTATTACTCTTCAAAACAGTTAAAAATATGTAGGTGTACGCCCTCTACAAGTAGGAGTCATATTGACATGAAAATCAAATTTGTCGTGTCAAAAAACTCTCAGACAACAATTTTCATCCAAATATTTACGTTACTTCAGAAATTATTTGGAAAAAATCGAAATAAAATTGTAACTTCTACACCCTGTATCTCCAAAACTAAGCATTTTAGGACATACATTTATACCAACTTTTTTACTTATTTTTATCTGCAAAATATGCTGCCGAAGTTTCCGGAATACAGTTCGCATCACCCTGTATATAACCATATTACGTTTTAAGTGTTAGACAATGGTGAATTATAAAATAAAATATCTCTTGAAGTGACATCGTCTTTATTGTCGTTGTTTTTTAATTGACATTACGACTTATACGACGTGTCATTAGATGTTTTCAAGTATAATCCAAGTTTATACTTGATAACTTAAGCGATACAAGTCGAAACATCATGTAAAACTTTAACAGTAAAGAACATTTCAGTTCAAGAAGATATTTTATTTCATATATTTTTATACAAGGTTTCTTATTAGAATCGTGATAATAGCCTCTAACTAAATTCTAAATACCTTATGTGCAGATTATTCCAGTATATCTAAACTTTCTGAAAATCTTTCAGTCAGTAATGCAATAAATTTTTGTGACAGTCCTAAATCATTTGATGTAAACCTATAGTAGTCTTAAGAACTTGTATTTGAAATGTCTAATAACTCCCAATCTTTAATTAATTAAATGGAAAAAGATAAAAATCGTATTAACAATCCAATGCCTGTTGTAGTAGTTACACCATAGTAAGATGGTGATTCCTAAAATAACATAATATTAACCGCGCGTTTTATGTTAATATTAGTAATCATTATCTTACTAATATCTATAAATCATTTAAAATAAATCTTATTAAAAGGTTGCGTCAAAAAATACCTGGAATTTAAGAATGGCGTCTTTGAAAGCTTCCACCTCATAGTTTTCTGCTCCATAGTACTTGACAGTTTCAAAGTTGAGCAACGAATCTACACTTCTTGCTCTTGTTTCATTATCTGCCAAGTTCATGCGTCTTCGAAACTTTGATCTCCATTCCGTAATACTAATTGTAAAAGCTAAAAAGCATAATATATTCTCAATACTAAATATAACAACTTAAAAAGACATCTAAATCACTTCACTTAAACTTTTATTTTACAAAAATATATTCCATATGTTATTATTAAAGATTAGTTGTTATTTAACGAACTGTTATTTAGACATAACAGTTATGGGGCTGGTCTCATAACTAATGATAGTAAGACCCATTATTACTAATGGAGCAGTTGCTTGGCACACAAAACTAGAATAACGTACAGCGCAGCAAATCATGTACAAAGTGCAGACACTGGCATGCATCTGCATTATTATTATTATTCTCCGAGAGTCAAGCAGCATTAAAAGCGATCAACTCAGTAACCATTAATTCAAAGTTGGTCAAAGAATGCCTAGAGAAGCTGTCAAGTGGAAACCAACTTAAAGCGGACTTCAAGAAACTGGAATACTCCATCCGTAACCTGGAATGGGAATCATCCAACGGTCTAAGACACTCGAAGAAATTTCTCAGAACTTACGGCAGAGAAACATCAAAGATCTTCCTTGATTTAAGTAAGAACAATCTTGAGATAGTCATGGGGTTTTTAACAGGACACTGTCTCCTCAACAAACACCTCAGTAGATTGAAGCTAAGAAACAACGGAATGGAGATTCTGTGAAGGACACACTAGAACACCTCATCACTACAACCAACCGTGCCATGAACTTTGGTACGAGTGATATCGGAGATGTCGGAGAAATGATCTCTGTAAAACTGTCTTTGATTATTATCATCCTGATAATTTCGTTTTTTAACAAGTTATTACAATTAATAATGAGCATATAGGCTGTAAATATTATGATATAGGTAGAGGAGGCAACAAGTTACCGAAAAATCAATATCACACCATATTGAACACCTAATTAAGGTAGTGGTGGTATCTTTTACAAATTTAGAATATTTTAACAGATTAGATCGACAAACGTTGATTGCTCATATGGTTATTCCATTTCGATGTTTGCTGAATTTTGATAATTTATCTAACGAGTATAATAATGTATCAAAAGTGCAAATTATATTTAATCACAAGTGTGTCATCGACAAATACAAGTTTTAGAATAATTTAAAAACCTCAACAATTATTAATGGAATTTCCGTTAAGTGTATCGACACTTCAACGTTTTACAAATCATTGTATCTATACAGGGTTGTACACCACATACGACACGGGGTATTGTAGCTAAACGATTAGATTTTTGCAAATTGTAAGTTTTAGGTTCGTTGAAGGACAATTAGAGCTACAGTTTAAAAATATTTTTACAAGATACAGAGTGTCCCAAATAAATAAAAAATAACAAAGTTGTATTTTTTTAAATAGAACACCCTGTATATTATATTTTTAGTTTCTACGATTAAAATAAAGGTAAATTTGATTAAGGTTTATCACACTTAAACCTTAGCGGTTTTGAAATATTTTCAATTTTGTGAAATTGGAGTAAAAATTTTAAGGCTTTATTTCTCCAAGGATATCAGACTTTTTAACACTAAATAATTACTGAAGTTTATTTATTGATCAGTTATTGTGTTGCAATAATAAAAATTATACTACCTTATACAGAGTGTCTAAACATTTATTTTAAATAATTACTAGCTTTAAACGGCAATAACTTGTTTAATTTCAATGGAACACTCTGTATATTTCAGGAGAATCAGATGCACAATTTAATTGTCTATCAAGTTGTATTAAACCATTTTTTACCTATCCCTTCATGTTTTTGTAGAAAATGCATTTTCTTATATTTTAGACCTCATTTATCAATATGCCCATGGAATATTGACATTTTAGATTGTTTTTAAATCAACAAATGTACAAAATGTACAAGTGCTAAAAACGATAATATTACTAGCCCATTTGCATAAAAAAAGAAAACTATTTAAATCTTTATAAAAGAATATACTATTAATTAAATATACCACCATTATTTCCGCCAAAATATTAATTATTTACATACTTAATTGTGTTAGTTAATAAATTATTCTAAATAAATGTGGATTTGAATCAGAAATCAATATAGTAATAAGTTATGAAAATGAATGTCTCTGTTGTTAAGCATTCGTCAAAAAATAAAATAAAATTTTTAAGGTGTTACTTTTTACTACATTGTTTAATAGACATACAAAATTCAGTTTTTTAGTATTTGGAGCAATTATTATTAAATCAATGCAAATAGTCAATTAATGTAGTTTGAATACTGGAATCATATTAATTGGTCCTCTTTAACAAATATTTAAACAGTTTTTTTTTATTTTTTAATAAAATAAACGAACTATATTGGCAATATTAGTATCTGTACTATTTAAAAATTTGTTACGTCTTTAAAAATAATCTAAAATGTCAATATTCCATGGGTATATTAGAGGGTAAGAGATAGATAAGAAATGACATAATACAATTTGATAGACAATTAAATTATGCATCTGATTCTCCTACAATATACAGGGTGTTCCATTTAAATTAAACAAGTTATTGCCATTTAAAGCTAGTAATTATTTAAAATAAATTTTTAGACACTCTGTATAAGGTAGAATAATTTTTATTATGCCAACACAAAATTTAGTAAATAGAAATACTTCAGTACAATATTTGGTTTTAAAAACTTAAATACGCCTAGAGAAATGAAGATTACAATTATTACTTTATTTTGACAAAAACGTAAATATTTCAAAAACGGTAAGATTAAAGTGCGGTAGACCTTAATCAAATTTACCATTATTTTAATCGTAGAAACTAAAAATGTAATAATATACAGGGTGTTCCATTATAAAAAATACAACTTTGATATTTATTATTTATTTGGGACCCTCTGTATCTTGTAAAAATATTTTTAAATTGTAGATCTAATAAGGACTATTAGATCCAAAACTTACAATTTGCAAAAATCTAATCGTTTAGCTACAATACTCCGTGTCGTATGTGGTGAACAACCCTGTATAGTACATTTTTAATTATTCATCTGTATAATTATTTATCCGTAAAATATAAGAAGCAATTATGACACCTTTTTTAAGTATTACATAGAACTATGCAATATTATTAAAGTGATATTTTTATAAGTTTAATAAGCCATCTTTATTAAACTTTCAGATGAAAGTGAAATCTAAATGTTTATTAATCTAATTCATTATTTTAACTTATTTTGAACTTACCTAAATAGAAGATCATTGTCACGCTAATGATTAATCCAAACATGTAGTTAAATGCGATAAAGAAATAAATCACTGCAATTAATAAATCGATGATGGTGGGACCCAGGGAAAACAGTATCATTTGTAAAAGACTATTGATACTCTCTGTTCCTCTATCCATGATACGCAAGACTTCACCAGTTTTTCGATTCAAATGCCATCTGAGGGATAGACTATGTAAGTGCCTGAACAGTTCTACCTATAAGAAAAATTAACAAATTTGTTTAAATTATTAAAGTAAAGGATGATGGGTATTTAGTTTTGTAGTTGGCAAGATTTCTTAAACTGAAGTTCCATAGTTGATAAGTCGTTAGTATCAGAAGAATTTTACAAGGTTTCTGGAACTCTGAGTCACTGTAAGTATTTCATTTTTTCAATTTCTTTTGACAATCCTGCCAAACTATTAGAATTTATCTTTGATTAAAATAAAAACAAAATGAAAATATTGACTTGTTTCTGAATCATGCACAGTTAAAACTGAAATTTCATTACAATCAAAAATGTTACTAGGGTAATATACAGGGTGTCCAAGAAATAAGTGTAAGTATTTTAAGGGTGGTAGATCTGGTCAAAAGAAACATTTTTTCTCTTTACCGTTTTTCAAATAAGTCCAAAATAACCGAGTTATTTTACTTTGAAAATTTAAACAAAAAATGCTTTTTTACTTAAATTTTGAGAACCACTGGATCTTTTCTGGATTAATTCTAATCTACTATAGTAAACGCCACGAATGTTTGGGAGTGATTCATCGGTTGATGAAGTTAGAATCGACACGCGCGCTATCATTTTTACATTAAAAACGTAAATTTTTACCGCAGACGTAGTTTTTAAAGGCCCGGTCTAATCATCTGCCTTCGCTCCTCCTACTTATTCTAAAATGTTAGCGTGATTGACAAAGACGATACTATCGCGTTTCTTTGATGGATTCGCTTTTGTGCGTCAGTCCATTGGTGTGCTTGCAGTGCGACCAATGGGGCATTCCATTTTATATTTATAACCAAATATATGTTTTGACAAGACTTTGACAGTTAAAAGAACAAATTACAACAGATTATATATTGATTATTATAATGACTTGAAACACCACGGCACTGGAATTAAGTTTTATGTGACCTTGAACAGATTAGTTCACATGGTAGCGACCGATAAGTCACTCCCAAACATTTGTGGCGTTTACTATACCTATGTTGCCATATTATAAAGAAATTAAGTTTTTTAACTTAACACTAAAAAACTTTTTGGAAAAATTTCCAAAAAATGTTTCAAAAAATTCCAAATTTTCAAAAAAAAATTTCGCAAAAAAACCCTCATAGGCGTGTTTCTGAGACCGAAATATATTACCAGTTAAAATACTTGCACTTATTTCTGGGACACCCTGTATAATTTAATAAATAAACTGAACTGTAACTTTATAGTAACTTTTAGACTCAAGATTCATTCGAATGCTAAAAGCACTTGGAAGAAAATTATAAAAAATCCAAAAAAAAACACTTTAACCCCCTGTAGCTGCGATACAAAGCATGGCACATGGCACATATTTTTGAAACACTCGGTATGTGTTTGATTTCAAGAAAATATGATGATTCTAAATAAAATAATGAACTTAAATATGTCATTGTTTAAATTATCTTATCGCAAATCTGTAATCAAGTATTTTATTTTTAATATGCATTATAACTGTTTTACGATATGTCGAGATTATTTATTATTCTCTTTTTAAATATTTGCTACTGTATTACATTTATTTTGCAAGTAATTTAAGAATAGAGCTCAATATTGAAGTAGTAATAAGTGATTTTGATAATATATAGTGATAATAAAACGTGACCATTGTGTAAGATCAAAATATTTTCCCGTATCAAGAGATTATAATCTTGTCGGAAGATCATATTTTATGACTTTCAAATATTTCAATGTTCTGATATTTTAATTGAAGTAACTAATTCCTCTAACAAGGCTAACGCTTACTTCATTTAAAGAATATTTCTCTTAAACAGAGGATAAAGATTTTTGTTTAAAGTTTATAGAATTCTTAAACCCACTACTCTTAAATTCAAGAAATTATTTATATCCGTGTATATTTGCCCACAAAAGCAATATATTTATGATTTAAAATTGACAGGAAACAAGAGTCATATAATCTTTCGCTTAGTGATGGGCAAAACTGTTATTTTTAGATATCAGTTGAAACTGTTATAGTTATTTATAAAAAAACAGCTTAAAAATAACAGATTTCGTTATTTTATTGCTAAATATCTGAAAGAGTATGAGGCGGTCACCGCTAGGCGTATTAACGCAGTTGCAAGTTGCAACAATGACGTGCTCGGTGGTAGTATATAGGTTGTCAAAACATTTCTAAATATCGATTGTTATCTAAAATACCTCTCTAAAAACGGTGGTTGTTTACAAATAAGCGCTGTTTACAAATTGCGATATAAAAAAAGCCAAAATGCCGCCACTCGTCTATACCTATACATTCCGATCTAGCTACGCCCTGCTCCTCGATCCGCGTAGATCCTGCATTACGTAGCAGTGTACAGAGTGTATCTCACTCGACGGGCGAGAAGCTCTTAGTTATGATTTTATCAATTGCGGTCAAAAAATAGCCATATAAGAAAATGTGTAGTATATTCTTCATAAGTAAACCAACTACACACTAGAGTTCGAATTAATTTTACACTTAAACTAGCGTGTACCCGCGACTTCGTTCGCGTCTAATTAATAATTTGTAATGGTGATTATAAAGCAAAGCAAGAATTTCCATTAACATACAAACTGGATAAAATTTTCTCACATTTACCAAAAATAAGCTTTAAACGTGGAGCAGTTTAAGCAGAATCGTGATTAATCAATTACTCAACTTTTTGGAACACCCTGTATGATTTTTTAAAAAATTTCAAAATATGTAAAAAAACAAAATAAATTATGCGTGTCCAAGCGTTTTCCCGAAAGACTAACCGTTTTTTAAATAACAAATATTGTAATATTTGAGAGGCTTTGGAATTTGAGATTCGAGAAACCCCTCCTTATCGAACCTCCACACCCCACAGTCAATCCGTTTGCTAAAAATCAACTTGAAACGTCAAGCAGTTTAAGCAGAATCGTGATTACTCAATGGTCATATTTTATGAAACACCCTGTATATATTTTTAAAAATCTTAAAATATGTAAAACAACAAAATAAAATACACGTGTTTAAGAGTTTTTCCGAAAAATATCACCGGTTTTTAAATAAAAAATATTCTAATATTTGAGGGTGGTTTCACCCCCTTAGAATTCGAGTTTCGAAAAATCCCTTCTTATCGAACCTCTACACCTTAAAGTCAACCCGTTTGCCAAAAATCAGCTTTTTACGTCAAGGGCTTTAAGCTGGATCGTGATTAATCAATGACCAGATTTTTCAAAACACCCTGTATACATTTTTAAAAAATCTTAAAATATTATTCTGAAATTTTTTCAGAATAAATAAATACCTAAATATTGAAACTTAATAACGTACTGAAACATACAGCGCAATAATATCTCGACCTCCGCCCGTTATGCTCGTAACAGGTTGAAAAACAATGTACATAATATCTAAAACAACTGATGCGTTATTTTCCAACCTGTTTTGAACCTCTATCGACAATCGACCGATGTAGCAGCGTTACTTTCCCACTCCGATTATCTCGACCGCCGCTCTGTTATGCTCGTAACAAGAGCTCTTAAAAAACAACGTATCTAAAATGACTGCTTATTTTCTATACGTTATTCTCCAACCCGTTGCCAGCCTCCATCGACAATCGACCGATGCAGCAGCGTTCCTTTTCCACTCCTGTTATCTCGACTGCCAGGCGTTATGCCCGCAACTGTTTCAAAAAAGCTGCTTCTTTTATATCCTATTATTTTTAAGCTGTTGCAAGCCCAACACGACCAACGACCGATGCAGCTACGTTCGCGGCGCCGCGCCGCGCGGTAGCGCATACCCCACACCGTTGTCCGTTCTATCTCGCCGTCTGTATCGATGGTTGTCGAAATAACAATGTTTTCTATCCATACTAGTTGTTTTTTGGAATTGCTTCGAGCAGCATCGAATTTCGTGGCGGTGCTGAGCGCCGACTTCTCTCACGAACGGTCGATCTCTGCGTGTTTTTATATCTTATATCTGTTATTTTTTAAAAGTAGTAACGGTTGCGTTATGTTATTTCTAAATAATTGTTATAAAATAACAGATAGTTAAATAACAACCCATCACTACTTTCACTAGACAAACTATTTTAATAACTATTTTAGAACTCCAAGATTTACAAGACCTTAGTCAAAAAATTAGAAGATAACTGTAACAGTAAGGCTCCTACCTGCACTTCCTTAGTTGTGTATTGCTGTACTCTGATCCATAGAAATGTTCTCAAGTTATTTAAAAAGCCCATACCACCTCCGCCGCCTTGCAGAAACTTGAAAGCGACATAGATTAAAATCCAGTCCCATCTAAATTGTAGTGGTTCGTTGGGAACAGGAGTCAAAGAGTCGACTGTAAATAAATTGTAATTATTATTACAACAAGTTTAGTAATTTCTATTGCATATAATTTCATCTTGTCGACTACCTGTTGCACTGACCACACGAATATAACTAACATCTTAAACGTTTCATGTATTTTCAGTCAGTGTATAATTTTATCATTCTTATACTGAGTGCGCCTCAAAACTGGCTCACCCCTATAACTGTTTTTATTTTTTCAGATAAAAACAACAAGATTTGGTATGTTAGTATATGACATAAATTAGGATTGATTGACGTATTCAATTGTTTTTGGTCACTTCCTGATTTATGTCACATAAATATATACATACATACCAAATCTCATTTTTTTATCTGAAAAAAAAATAAAAAAGTTGTGTTATAGGGGTGAGCCCTCGGGTGAGCCACTTTTGAGATGCACCCGGTATACAAACTTAGAGAACTATGATTTTCTTACCAATTTTTTTGTTATAAATAGGAATATATAGATTAATGGCACGCCCAAAACCAAGTAATATAAAACAGAATATCACTCTTGTCTGCAGAATAAATGACATCTTTGGCCATAGAAATGGGGATAATGTCTTAATTTTTTTCCAGAGTCCTCTCCATGTAGATTTGTTCTCATCTTTTGGCTAAAACAGACACGTTTAATTAATGTTGTTCCTATACTAATTACATTTTTATTTACCAGACGAGGACTTTCATTTTATTGTAATAATTTTAATTACAATTTAATTTCTTATCTTCAAAATGTGAATTACTTTAGTTCAAGACATACCAATTATGTATTTAATTAAATAAGTGGAAAAATCCAACTTCAACAAAAAAATTATAAAATGTAAAAATAACGTAGGTACGTAACATTTTCAACAATATCTTACTTTAAATTTTAGTTTGATGTTTATATTATCAAACTGCACTTTGTCTTTCTTGGGGGCATTTGGATCAGTGGCTTTTTCTCTTTCTCCTTTCCTAAAAATAAATGAAATACGAAATGTAAATCTATGTTTTAAGGACAATGATAAAATGAATGCAAATACGATACGTTGATCTTTATTCGATAAAATCAAAAAATTATCAACGAAATTTAATTTTCTAAATTTACTTGCAAAATATGTTTTTCTACAAAAGTTTTTATTAGCATCTATTATTAGCGGCCGTTTCATGAGCCCTTTGGGGTGGTTTTCAAAAACTTTGTTTTACAACAAATTGACCCGTATGAAAGTTGTTCATAGTAAATGGACAAGCAACTTTCCCTCATGAATTTTTTTTGTAGCTTGATTATTTTTGGAGAGATAGCGTCCAGTTCATGAACAAATTAGGGTAGTTTATAATGAAGCTACAAAAAAAATCATGAGGAAAAGTTGCTTGTCCATTTATTACGAACAACTTTCATACGGGTCAATTTGCTGTAAAACAAACTTTTTGAAAACCACCCCAAAGGGCTCATGAAACGGCCCGGAAATAATAAACTTATAAAAAAATTCATTAGGCGAACTTATAGAGAATGTTCTTATGTACAATTTGCGTCTAATTATTTTGTTGTAGTACAGTTTAAAAAAAAACCACCCCTATTGCTCAAAAACTGCAAGGGGAAAATTTCCGATTTTGTTTATTTTACACTCAGAAGACAGTCGCTGACAAACTCTGAAAAAATCAGCTTGCCCGTAATTTTTTTTTCAAATGACAATTTTATTGGATTATAGACATTTGGGCGAGGTTTCAAAAAATGTTTCGCATGTGCCTCTTTTTTACTCTCTCGTCCTCTATTTTTTATTTTGAAAGTTGGCAACTCTATTCTAGAGTGTCTTCCATAGAGTTATAGCACAGTTTTTTGGGCACCTAAAGAACGATATATTGTCTGGCATTCTACTTTCACAACCACCCGCTGCACAAATATTTCTAGTACACATTTTATTCACAATTCGAACAAAACAACTAAAACACTATTTTTGGTTCACCCTATGCTTCGGACGGAAAATAAAACTAAAATAAACTTGGAACGCTGTGTATACGTCGAGCAACGGATGTAGACTGACCCAAGTCTACAAGACAGGCGGGGAGCGGCGGGAGGAATTTTGATACACGCGAAGAGTGGGCCAACTGATATATTTATGTTCTTTAAACTGTGGTTATAGTAAGTACCTAAGACGAATTATTTTTTTGTCGTTATGCGTAGACGGGGCTTTAGAGATATTAGAATATTTTTCTTACATAATCATTTCCCAGATCTAGTAAACGTAAAAATTTATAACAAAAAATATTATGATGACATATGATGGAAGATACTATATCGTACAACCTACAGCTGCTACGACAATGTAAAAAATTAACGTAGCGTTCTCGGCAGCGTCTTATTTTTTTTACTACAGAGGATAAACTAAGTTAGAGTATAAGTTTTTCTTTCGCAATAGGTAATTAAATTCCGGACCAGCATTTTTTAACTTACTTATTAACTCCGTCTCCATATATAAAATTATCACCCCCACCTCTAGGACCGCCCCCGCGACCACCACCCCCACCACCAGGACCGCCAAACATTTTTGATTTAGATATTTTCGACCGAACAAACTTAATAAAAGAAAAACTAAGAAATTAATATACATTTTTACGATATATATGTAGGCGAAAAAAGACTGTGAAATAGGGGGGAGAGCAAAATTTGCCTAGAGATCATTACAATTAAATGTAAATAAAACTTTTGTACATTCATTTCAGTATGCAATATTTGATTCCATTCATAAAATTTAATTAGGACTTTTCACTCCCATTGTATTGCCGTTATCAAAGAATTAAATATGCAAATATTTAATAATGATCTATATAAACACACATATTTCTACGCAATATTATGCCAATCTTAGAAAAGAATAACAGCATTCTATTTATTACATAGGGACCGGTAATAGTGCGTCGGGCTTCTGTAGTTCCTAGAATAAAAAACTTGGGAATTTTGTTTAAGTGCAAACCTAAAGCACCGTCTAAAGATATTCTAACCTAAAGTATGTACGAGGATGTATTTCAGGAAAATATTTTAACTTCTATAGGGTGGCTCAAAAAAGTGTGAGTGGATGGGGATGATTTTTTTTTAAATAGAATACCTAATATAAATAAATAAATTAAAACATATAAAAAATGTTTTTAGCCTTTTTAAAAAAAATTATTAAAAATACAAGAAATGTCCTGAAATTAAAACTATACTTAAGGGGGCTACAGACGTTCATGCATACTTGACAAGTGTACTTGTGCAAGCGTACTTGTATAAAGGCGGCTACAGACGTTCATGCAGACTTGACAAGTGTACTTGTGCAAGCGTACTTGAATAGTTTCAGTCTGGTTTTAGTAGGTAAAAATGGACGAAAAAGACGCGCTAGCTTAAACAAAAAGAAAACCCGTTGATTTTAGTGCAAAAACTCGCTTCTAAAGAGGAATATTTATTCGCATACTAATATTTTAAACAAATTGAAGTTTTACCCTGCTGATTGGCATACTTATTTACGAATGTATGGAGAAACATATTTAAACTGTTATTACTGGTTAACCCTTTTATTGAAAAGAAATTGTTCTTAAACTGTTTATTTTTTACAACCGAATCGCGGTTTGCGGTTTTATGAATTTCTTGCAATTTTGTAATCAAACTTTTATGTATATGCAGCCTCTCTTTTGTTTTTATTATGATAGTCCTTTGATTTTACTTGCCATAAACAAAGAGATTATAAATACTAATCAACTCGACCAATACCTCGCGCATATTTTTTCATGTTCACTAGCCATTTTTATCTATGTTTTGGTAACAAACAAGCAATAAACCCATAATAAACCTACTAAAACCAACTTCAGGCTTGCGCAAGTGATACACACGTTCATGCATACTTGCGCAAGTCACTGGGACATGAAGAAAATTCGTACAAGTCTATGCCACTTGCACAAGTCGAAATAATTGTACAAGTTTGTTCCTACACACGCTCAAGATTCTTATACAAGCACGCTTGCACAAGTACACTTGTCAAGTATGCATGAACGTCTGTAGCCGCCTTAAGAATTTTGAACGTGTGTAGGAACAAACTTGTACAAGTATTTCGACTTGTGCAAGTGGCATAGACTTGTACGAATGTTCTTCATGTCCCAGTGATTTGCGCAAGTATGCATGAACGTGTGTATCAAACTTGCGCAAGCCTGAAGTTGATTCTAGTAGGTTTATTGCTTGGTTCTTATTTGTTTGTTACCAGAAGATAGATAAAAATGGCTAGTGAGCATGAAAAAAGTATGCGGGAGGTATTGGTGGAGTTCATTAGTATTTATAGAGAATCTCTTTGTTTATGGCAAGTAAAATCAAAGAACTATCATAATAAAAACAAAAGAGAGACTGTATGTAAAAGTTTAATTAAAAAATTGCAAGAAATTGATAAAACTGCAAACAGCGATTTGATTGTAAAAAAAAATCAACATTTTAAGAGCAAATATTTCGTAAAACTTCAATTCGTTTAAAATATTAGTATGCGAAAAAATATTTTAGAAGGCAGTTTTTGCATCAAAATCGACGGGTTTTCTTTTTTTCTTTTTGTTTAAGCAGAATAACGAACATCGCAAGAGCTAGCGCGTCTTCTCTGTCCATTTTTACCTACTAAAACCAGACTAAAACTATTCAAGTGCGCTTGTATTGCATGGAGTCAATGCAAACTTGTACAAGTACGTTTGCACAAGTACACTTGTCAAGTATGCATGAACGTCTGTAGCCGCCATTAGACGCAAAAGGGAATTTTTTGGTCAAATTTAAAGTGTTATATTTTTATTATTTTTAGCCCTATTTTCATATTTTTTTCAGCAAGTTGTGTATAATTATGTCAACTTTAATTCGTAAACTCAGTTCTTTATAAACTTTAGTATTTGGCATATTATACAGTATACAGGGTTAATCGAGGGGTTGTTTTTTATCCTAACTTTAAAACACCCTGTGCAATAATTTCGTGTGTAAATTTTCCTAAGATATAATTTTACGGTCAGAACCATGTCTCCTGAGCATTTTGTTTTTTGGATGAAAATAGGGCTAAAAATAACTAAAATATAACATTAAATTTGACCAAATTTTTTTTTTGCATCTGAGTGTATATTAGGTATTACTTTATATAGTCTATACTTACTTTGCTATAAATATCGTAATCTTAAATCTTACAGGGTGTTCCAAATTCTACGCCAAACTTTCTAAAATATAAAACAATTTTTTTTTGTTTTTTTAACTGGAACATCCTGTATATTATTTTTTTATTAGATGAAAAGTTAAAAAACGGACATTTTTTGTATTTAAAGTAATTCAAATTTTTTAATGATTCCGCAGATACACGCAGTATCATTTCATATGACTCTTTCAACAGTAAAATACGAGAGAAAAATCGTTGGGTGGCTTTGATAAAAATTTACTGTGGAAAATTCCATATTATGAAATATAAAACCGCGAATATCTGGGAAACCCTTAACATTTTTGAAATACTCTAATTATAAAAAATGTTCATTTTTTAATTCTCCAGCTATGGAAATAATAGTATCCAGGGTGTTCCTTAAAAAAAACGAAGAAAAATTATTTTATATTTTAGAAAGTTTGGCGTGGAATTTTGAACATTCTGTATGATTTACGATTAGGTACAATACTTTTAGCAGTGAGTACAGATGACTATCTAAAGTAAATACCTAATATAGTTTTTATTTCAGGACTTGTATTTTTCATATTTTAAGAAAGGCCTGCTGAAGTTGTCTCGATACAATTTGGACCACCCTGTGTATCTCGGAATCACACATTATAATAAAATAGAAACATTAACTTGAATATTTATATAAAAATCTTAAACCTAAATATAAATAAATAGAAGTTAATATACTGTAGATTAAGTATTTCTTATTTAAACCTACTATACTATACAAATTAGAAGTTTTTAATTATTTCACAATATTACTCATTTTAATATTTTGTTATTATTAATAATTATTACTGTTATTAAATATTTTAATATAAACAGTTAGATACAAATTAATATTTTATGTATCGAAAAATATAAACATATTCGGTTATTAAACTCACGTTAATAAAGATAACTGGACATCTGTATCTCTCCCTCTGCCTCCCGGACCCCTTGGACCACCACCGCCCATCATTTTGAGGTTAAAAGATGGTTTCTATTAATAGCCAATAATAACTAAACCAATACAAGGCCAATCGAACGTCGCGAGCAACACTGGGCAACTGAAAACAATCGCGAAATGATCCGGTTTTAGTAATAAAGCGATTTACTGAACCAATCGATTAGATTAGCGCATCCTGAATTGTTTAGTTGAAATTCGATTCTAATAACATAGATAAATCTAATAAGTACTCTCTGACGAACAATACACAAAATTCAATGAATTCAAATAACAGGAATTTTTTAACAATCTATTTTTAAAGTATCGATTCACCTTTCATTGGTTTTTGCAGGATTAATACACAGGGTGGTTCGAACTGTATTCTGGAAACTTCGGCAGCATATTCTGCAGATAAATAATAAATAAAAAAAAAATAAAATAAGTAAAAAAGACCGTATAAATGTATGTACTGAAATGCTTAGTTTCGGAGATACAGGGTGTAGAAGTTTTATTTTTATTTCGATTTTTTCCAAATAATTTATGAAGTAACATTAATCGTGGCTAACGTCAGATTCACAATATTTGGATGAAAATTGGTGTCTGATTGTCGACGTTGAGTTTTTTGACATGAGACATTCGATTTTCATGGCAATATGACTCCTACTTGTAGAGGGCGCCAGCTACATAAGTTTTAACTGGTTTGAAGAGTAATAACTTTTCGTCCATACCTGTATAAATTATTCAGTAAAAAATATACATTTACAACTTTTTTCACATAAAAAAGGTCTCTTGGTAAAAATCGCAACGCGTAATGGTTCTCGAGATATTTAGAATTGAAATTATCAATACCTGTCATCATTGACATAAATTAAACATGTTGTCTAAATAGTTATTAGACTGAAACCATAAATTTGAATTTTTTTGTGCCAAAAGTTCAACAGAAACTGCGTAGTTATCATTTTTTCGCAGAAAAATTTATGATTAATTTAAAAAAATAAAAATGTATTATTTCAGTCAAATAACTATTCTCAACGTGTGCTTATTTTTTGTCAATAATGACATGTATTGACTATTTCCATTCTAAATATCTTGAGAACGGTTGCTCATAGCGATTTTTACCAAGAGACATTTTTTACGTAAAAAGTCATGGAAATGTATATTTTTTTAGTTAGTAATTTTATACAGGTACGGACGAAAAGTTATTACTCTTCAAAACAATCAAAAGGCACGTAGGTGGCGTCCCCTACAAATAGGAGTCATTTTGAAATCAAAATCAAATTTCTCGTGTCACAAAACCCCCAAACACTAATTTTTATCCAAATATTGACGTTACTTCAGAAATTATTTAGAAAAAATCGAAATAAAAATGAAACTTCTACACTCTGTATCTCCGAAACAAAGTATTTTAGTATTTTTTTTATACGAACTTTTTTACTTAAATTTATCTGCAGAATATGCTCCCGAAATTTCCGGAATACAGTTCGGACTATGATTTAGTATAATGTTTTTTTTTCAGTTAATTGTCCATAAAACTATATTTATTACTGTTTTGAAATTACAATTGAAACGTCTCTATAAATATTTCTGTTGAATTATAAAATATAACATAATAATATGCAGTCCGGGAAGACATAATAGTTCATAATGATATTATGTAATTTTTTGCAACATATAAGTAACAGATTACACAACTTTAATAAGAATATTATTTGTTTTTAATTCTTTAATAGTAGGAATTAGGAATATTAGACATCTTTATTTATGTAATAATTATAATGACTTGGCAGTTGCATGGCACCATAACTCCTTCATTAACATAAAGAGAATAATTTCTACCATTTCGATTACTAAGTAAATTTAAACACTTAAGAATAAAGTACTTTAATTAGAAAACTACAGGGTGGCCCATCGAAAACGTTCCGCAAGGCATAACGGCCAGGGTAATTTTTTTTTCAGAAAATTCAAAAACATGTCAATTTTGTTTGTGAGGGGGACATCTTTTGCCCCAAAAATGATTGCAAAATCTTCCACCCTCTAAACGGGGGTGTCATCCCCCAATTTTTTTCAAACGGGAAGGGGGGTCAAGTGGTACCGCAATGAAAAGAGTTTTCTATTCTCTATACTTTCCCGCTTCGTTTTTGAAAATCGGTCGAGTCATTGAGAAAATATGAAGGATTGAAATTTGAAAAGTTTAATCAAAAAAACTTTTTTTATTTTTTGAAATAAAAAATCGAGAATTCAGATAAAAAATTGAGCCACTTGTTAGTATATGACATAAATTAGGATTGATTGACGTATTCAATTGTTTTCGGTCACTTCCTGTTCCACGGGAAATGACTACAACTTTTGATTTTTAAATGGCACTCGCTGTATTTTGTTACTTTATTCGACAGAAAATGACACTCTGAATAGAATGTGTAATGTTTTTTGATATATTCCTTATATATTCTTAATAATTTAATGTGATATATTACAGAATGACATATCATATGTCAACTTTTGACATTGTCGAATATGGTTTAAGCAATACGACTCGTAATACCAAGTGTCTGGTACCAAATTATTAGTAAAAAAATTATTTTTCGAATATGCTAATGAGCCACCTTCGTTCCAAAAATACGATTTAGGCAACTTTTAACCGGCCAGGACAAAACACTAAAAACATTAGACAATCAAATTTATTATTCCAAGGTTCCTTGATTAAAAATTAGTGTTTTTAATACAGCCATGGCATATTAATATGGCACCCTAGATTGAAATTTAAAATACAATTTTGTTGTAAGCGAAAATGTCAAAAGTTGACATATGATATTATGTCATTATGTTCAAAGTGTCATTTTCTATTGACTAAAAAGTAAAAAATGCAGAGGTGCCAATATTGTAGTCATTTCCGGTGAAACAGGAAGTGGCCGGAAAGAATTGAATACGTCAATCAATCCTAATTTACGTCATATACTAACATACCAAATCTGCTTTTTTATCTGAAAAAATAAAAAAGAGTTATAGGGGTGTGCCGCTGTTGGGACGCATCCGGTATATCAAAAATCATAAACACTTTTCCTTTGATACTTATACCTATCCAAATCAATGATTCGTTTTTTCTTACCTTTCTTAGTCCCTGGATTGCCCTGCATAAATAGATTGTAGTCTAGCGAGCCTAATGTTTAGTAAACAGTACTATTCCTGTTTGACTGCACTTGTTATAGGTATAGTACGTCTTACTTTTGGTATTAATGTATAATAAGTATTCGATGTCCTGCACACTACATATATAGTGTTTTTGATAAAATCTGATTCTTGTTTTTCCACTTTTCAGCAACTCCATAATGAATAAAAAGCTAAAAAATGACTTACAGCTTACAGACTACAGTTATATATGGTCTGTAAGCAGTAAGCTATAGTTTGTTGTTGTGTGTGTTGTGTGTTTATAGTTTGTAAGCGATTGATATATGTGTTACGCACAATACTTATTTTAATTTGTATACAATTGTTTATATACCTAATAAAGACATTTTGAATTGAATTAAATTGAATACTCGAATTCGGGTAATTCCCGAAAAAAATGCACAGAACTAGTTTTGAGCAAAAAATATTCCCAAACCCGAAATTGTACATTTAAACGGGTATGCGCATTACAAAATAGCAAAAACTACTATTGTTCATTTTAAATTGTGCAAAACTAGTTTGGTGCATTTCAAAATGACCAATACTAGTTTTGCTCGTTTTCTTTAAATAAGACGGAAAAAGTAGGGTTAGCAGTTTGTTTAGGCATTAAAGGATTTTTATTTTGATTTTGTTGTGGGTGGAAATACGCAATACTTGGTAAAATAAAACAAAAAAATGCAAGAAAAATGAAAGCCGAGTTCGAAATTCAAGTAAGTCGACTGATGATGATGGCTAAAACACAGAAACATAACCTTATGTCGAAAAACCAATACCTAACGATATTGACTGAAGTTAAAAAAGCAAATTTTCTTAAAACTGATTTAAAACCTTTGTGTGCGAAACAATATAGAAGGATAAAGCGTTTTGATATAATAAACTGTGGGTGGTGTGAAAAAATTGATCAAGAAGCGCCAAGGAGATTCCGATGTCATACTGTATTTTGTGACGACTGAGGAAATGTTTTCTATAATTCACCAGGCACATATAGCTACAGGCTACAGTCCATAAACGACATAAAGGTTTGTTTTTCTTGTTTATATTTTATCTATTAGGTATCTAACCATTCTTAGGGTACCTATATTATTATGTATTTATCCATTTATAAAATATTTATGAATAAAGTTTTATTTTTTTAAGTATTTTATTGTCAGTTTAATCATATTTGAATTAAACACATTCATAAACAATCCATTCTTTGTGTTAGGGCGTTATTGATCAAATAGGCCAAGCAAAACTAGTATTGGACATTTTGAAATGCACCAAACTAGTTTTGCGCAATACAAAATGCACAATACTAGTTTTGACTATTTTGTAATGCGCAATGCCCGTTTAAATGTACAATTTCGGGTTTGGGAAATATTTTTTTGCTCAAAACTAGTTCTCTGCCTTTTTTTCGGGCATTACTCGAATTCGAGCATTGGGCGTAACATATGCACTTAATCGATCATTCCTTCATATTAAACCTAACTTTAGTAATACATTTTAATAGATTAAAATAAAAAGATTTATAAAAATGTCCCTATACCTATGTGGCGGATTCATCTCTCCAAAAAATCCTATATGGGTATTTCGCCACTGTAAGAAAATCTACAAAATAAAAAAAAAATATTAGATTAGTAGATTTTCTTGCAGTTGCGAAATAAACATATAGGATTTTTTGGAAAAAAGATTTATAAAATATTAAAATTTATGATAATACAGGGTGACAATTTGAAAACGAACAATATTTAATATATTGCCTCTACCGATGATAGTATGAAAATTTGGCGAAACACGTCAATTTACATATCAAGGGGGACAATTTTTCAGGCATTTGTTGTCGTGTTACTTTCAACCCCTTGAGCCCCAGGGCACCTACCCCTAAAATTTAAAATAGCAACCCCTTTTACCATTTTTGTGTTTCTTATAGAATTCTACATAAGTATCACAATTTTGACAAAATATTAATGCAGTTTATGTAGAATTTTATAAGGAACACAAAAATGGTAAAAGAAATAGGGGTAGGTAAATTGACGACT